CCGCGCTGTCCCCGGAGGCTTCCCTGCGCCCCCTCCCCTCAGAAATGCGGCCGAAACTCGCCGGCTGCGTGCGGACAGCCTCTCCTTCAGTGACAGCCGGTAGCCCCGTCCCGGTATTTGTCCATGACAGGCGAGGAGGAGGTGAAATTTTGCCCCTGGGGAGCTGGGAAAAGGGGGGCTCGATGGAAGGTTTCAGGCAGGGGGAATGTGTGAGATTTGGGGGTTCGGATTAGGAACAGGCATCAAGGGAGTGAGAGGGCGTGTGGGGCTGGAGAGGAGCATCAGATCTCAGGGGATAGCGAAGAAGAGGGTGATGGTGGTTAGGATGAGGAGAATTTTAAAAGAGCAGCGGAGGGGAAAAAAAGGATGGAAAAAAGAGAAATACTAGAAGAAAAGTACGTTAAGAATACTGGCACATGGGTAGAAAAAAACACAAACCAAACAAACAAAAAACAAAACAACAAACCACACTACAAATGCAGCCAGCATGCAGAGCACTCTGTGTCTGGTGTAACTCAGCTTCAAAAACTTTAAAAATCTCCTCAGCTAACTTCAGGAAGTGAAAGCCACATCTAAAGCACTAAGAAAACCCAAGGCTCTGCCATCTCTGCTGTCAGTGAACTCCGTTTCCAAGTACAGCTGCATACATTAGCAGTCCATAATGAGCCTTGTGGAGAATAGCGGGTATATTTGGGGAACTCATGTCTGGATGGCGTCTCCATGCGACGCGGTGACCGTGGTGCGCTCGCTGCGTAGGTGTGTGCCGCGCTTGGAGCGGCTTTACATAATCCGTGCTTCCTATATAGAAAGAGTTGGGATCCTGGAGAACTTGTCCCACACAATAACCCAGAAACTACCTAGCACGTAGCAACTTCCTAGTATGATCACACTTTTTTTGAGATTTATTTTAGGATGAAAGAGTCATTTGATTTCAGCTCTTCAGCAATTTTACCCCTTAAAGGTGCTCTTTGTGAAGAGACTGAACTGATCTCAGCAACCCTTGAACTCAGGTCTCTGCTGCTACAATGGCTCATCTTTGCTCCCTGGACTTGGCTTAACCTGTGATGATCCTCATCAGTTGCAAATTTGCCACTATTTCGTAATTGCTTTTACTTGGTTAGACTTAGGGCAGCAGCCGTCATTCATGCCACAGGTCTAGTCCCATTGCACACAAAGGATTTTTTTTAACATCTACCCTCGCTTTGCTTTTTCGGTCACAGCAAACTCAACATGCCAGGCACGGATTTCTTTGACTTTCCCATCTCTCCTCATGCATCAGTGCCAGCTGGTGCAGTTGCAAGTGCCTGGGCTTTGCACCTTCCTCACTTCATATCCTGCTGCTTTCTGTGTGATCCACCTGGCTGGCTGCTTCTCACTTCTGAGGCTATTTATGACTATCACTACCTTACTCATTGCCTTGCACTACCTATCACAGTGGTGATTCCAGCCTTAGTCAACAGTGACCTCTTCCCTTTCATTGCAGTTTTCTGTATTTCGGGTAAATGCCTTCATGTGTTTAACCCTTGTATTTTGAAAGGGAACCCCTCAGATACTCGTATAACTGGTACACCATTGTTGGAGAACGGCTTGCAGAGAGCAAGGCCGTGGATCCCTGCAGAAGTCGGTCACAGCCACCTGAGGTAAACAGAGGAAAAAACCCAGCGTACATTGATGATAACAAGGACTGTTGTGAGAATGAAGAGATAAGTTGGGGCACATTATGACCTTGGGGGTGAGAGAAAGGCAGCCCTGGGAGGGAAGCAGGTTCACAGCAAGAAAGATGTTTATGCATACCAGAGATGCCACAAGGGGCTGGGATATTATAATGTGACCTTTTAGATGTACCCAATAGCTGAGATATTATAATGTAGGTTTTTTTATGTATCCAATAGAGTTACAAGTAGTGTATTGTAGAGTGCTTATATAAGGTGTGATTTCCTTCAATAAAGTTGAAGCTTGCTCTATCATTCACATTGAATCGGCTGCTTGCTTCCTCCGCCCGCTGCACACCATCCTCCAATTCCTCCAAGCTTTTTCTTGCAATGCTCACTAAAAATATTGGGCTGCTTCAGAGTGAGCATTCCTGCCTGTTTTCAGTGCTATTTCCTAGGTTTCCTGCTAGTGTTCTCTTGCCTCTGTCACTCAGGAAACTTTTTGGAACAGGGGTTCCAAAGGTTCCAGGTTTATGCAGCTCTTTATCCTCTGACTTGGAACTCTAGGTGCTGTGGTCAAATAAATAATAAATGACAATAACTTGCTGTAAAAGAGAACTATTGGTCTATTAAACATTAACAATAAAGAAGAAGTTTGCCTTTTCCACATTAACCTTCATAATTAATACAAATAGGGTACATTATTTTTCACACAAAATGCATACTAGGGAGATGAAGAACACAGTTCAAATTTTAGTAAAAATATTTTACAATAAGTAAATACTTGGTTTTGATTTTTTTAAATCCTGTTTGTATTTGGTTTTATTTAGTTTCTGCATTTTTAGTACAGCACTGAGGACATGTACTTACCTGCTTTCCACTGCTGTGGCCACGCTAACTAGCCAGTAGATCTTTCTCCTGCATCCGAGAATCCTCAAGTGACAAAACTTCCACACTGATAAACACTTTGTGACTCTTTTTGTCGTGCAACATGCTTGTTAGTCCTTTCTTACCAGGATGTTCATTTTTAGAGAAAAACCTTAAACAGAGCTTTTCAAACTGAGTAGAATCATTACCATCATCGAGACTCATCTCCTGATGTTACCCTTATTTCACGGTAACTATTAACTTTAATCTTTAGCTTGTTTTTTTCTAAGGGGTCCACAGCAAACTTGCATTAGGGTGATCAAAGGAACTGGGATCTACTGTGTTTCATCTCTGTCTCTCACAAGTATATAGATGAATAGCTTGCTGCAAATGCAATGTGGTAATTGTGTGTCCATGTGTCTCTTTTGAAGCTGAGAAACATGCTGGTGTGTCTTGCGTGACAGCATCTATGGATGACATACAGTTTGAAGAGGCTGCCAGGTACAAAACCAGTTAACTGTCAGATGTTTTCATTTGATAGATTATTATTTTTTGGCAGAGATAAATTGAGGCATTATAAAATCTGAGATAGCAGGCCAATGAACTCCCCAGAGTCACAGGGTTAAGTCTCAAAATTATTCTTTTCTATCTGTGATAACCAGACCCACCTAGAAAACAGATCAATTTCACAGATCAAAAATAAACTGTAGTTACTTTGACTTGGCAACCTAGGTGCCAGGTGAGAAACTTACGGTTCAGTGATCTTTGGCTTTAGTTAAGTGAATGCTGCAGGCCATTACTTAGCTCTGTTAAATAAGGAATACATGCCTGTAACAGTTATTGAGTTTTTTATTGTTGCAAGTGCTCTTTATTTCTTACCTTCTCTTTTCTTTTAAAAAAAAATTGTGATATAACAAAACTGCATTTGTGATCACTGAAAATTGACGACGTCTACAAGATAATACAGGACTTAATTTTTGTTTTAACCATTTTTCATGATTTTCCAAGGGATAAAAGCCACTGTAAGAGGAAATAGCAAATTTATTCCTAAACCATATCATTACAGAAACTTAAAGCCATTACTCTGTAGTTTTCGTGTGTTTGTGCACCTTGCAATCTGGAAATTAATGAGTGCTTAGATGGCATGGACCTGTTTACACAGACCAATGCTCATGCAGTTGTCCTGACTGTGAATGAAGCAACATTGTCTGTCCAATGTACAGCTGATGTCAATTCAAAACTGTTTGGAGTACACAAGTGTAAGGTAAGTATCCACTCCCTCTTCTGAACAGTGGATTTTTAGAGTAGTGGCCATTAGGATGAGATCTAGAACCAGTGGCAAAGAAGTGAACACGGTCATACTGAATCCAGAACTCAGGAGAATGTCTTGTTCTGTTTTACAAAATTTTTGCGGTGTTTGTCTTGCCTGTAATTGTTCTGTGGTTTTAATTTTGTCCTTAGGAAAAAATTCTGTGAAAACTGTAATCAAAGATTCCCACAAATGAAGTCAGGGTAATATTTTTTTCTTTCCGGCCTAATGTTTCAGACTTCAGTAGCTTCAGAGCAATTTTGATCTTGTTTCTGAGAGAAGAACAGAGCTTCTAAAATATAATGAAAATACTTTTCCTTCCCAATTTGTTTCTGACTGTGTCTCTAGTTCTCCTTCCACTTGTGGTGCCAATGTTTCATTTTTAACAAGGATATAGGGTACAAACATAGCAACTGTGAAGTGGTTTCAGTAATTATTTTTCATCCTCAGGTCATCCCTAACGTCCTGTTTGTAGCTTACTGTGTAATGTCCTGAATTTTGCTAGATCTTGTTGATTATACAAACATCTTGCACAAATAAAAGAGCTCTTGTATCTCATTCTAGTAAATTAAAAACATGTTCTGTAAGTTACCTGCTGCACGGTTTTGTTTAGCCTAACTCAGGTTACCAGATGTTCAGTAAGGATTAACTCTTGTGTGCATATTTCTTTTCAGTTGACATGGGAACAGATTTCCACAAATCTGTATATTGCAAAACTCAGTTTTATGCCATGATAACTAATAAATCCCTCTTCCTTGTCTTTTAATATGCAGCAATTCGGTGGTAATAAGAACATCTGATTTTAAATTACATTTATTTAAATTTTATTAGCGCTCCATATGTAAATCATATTCAGTCCACTCTGATACATTTCAAAAGCTTTCTGCCAGTTATAAGTGAAAGCGTGGTGGTCTGGGACTTCTGCACTTACATATCTATTAAACATGCAAGCTGATCAGATCTTTTGGCTTACATCAGTTTGTCCAGAGCCAAAATACATGATACAACGTAAAACATTTCATTCTGAAACAGCTCCTGAAAGTGTGTGAAAAGGTGTTTTGGTATCACACTGTCTGATCACCTCAGTTCAGACATTATTTTCTGATATGGCCACGGACCCCAGAGGCTTACACTTTTCTACAGGGAAATGTGAGTCCAGCTGCACAGACTGGAGCATCAGGCGAGATGCCAGTCAGTCAGTCAGGGTGTCTAATGTCTGCAGTCCAAACTCACCTCATTGCAGGACTGGTGTCTCAGACTGAGTGAGATCACATCCGGCTTTGTTCTGTTGTTCCCACCCTGCAATTTCCTCAAAGGTGGACAGACCCAGACTTACCTCTCTCAACCTCTGTTATGCAATGTCTTGCACAGGGGAGGAGAGGTCACCAGGGAGGTGTCACTGACAAAGGTCACAAAGGTTTTACCCTGCCAGTAAGCCTGAGGTAGAGACCTCTGCAGTCCCTGCTGGGACCTCATGGACAATGCAGCATCATGTTCTTGGCAGGGACAGCGATGTCCTCTGCAAGCATCTGTAGAGACTCTAGACTCTCCTTCTAAGAAAAGCCTCACACTCACTATCAGCATGTGCCGTGTTCAAACACAGAGTTTATCTCATTAATGCGCTCTGTCTTTTTTTCACCTTGTACTTGTCATTACCTCTACTGCTCTGTTACTGTAATTCTCTTGGGAGTTTTATGACAGATACAGAGTTTTCAGAGGTGTTTCACGGTGAGTGAGTTCTGTCTCATGCTTTCTAAGGCCTTTTTATGAGACCATAAAGTTAACTTCTTTTCCAATCTTAAACATAAATATTTTGTTACTGAACACATTCTCTTTTTTGTAAATGAACTGGTGGTTCCCTTAGCTGTGCAGTTTAGAACTATTACGTTAATGATTGTGCTTTTTCTTTGCAATGAATGATGGAAAAACTCCTTCTGAACACATTCTTCAAAAACTAATGAGGGCTGTGTATCTGCAGATGGTCTTAATTCTTTCCTCTAACCATTTTTTCCCCCTGTCTACTCAAAGGCTTCCACTAGCATTCTTGAAAGTGGACAAGAAAGAGAAAGTTTCTGTGCAGTTGGTGGTTCCTGTCTGGTACTGTTATGGAGCAGGTTTCCTATTCCCTTAGTGTTTGGTAACAATTCATTGGAAATTCTGGCACTGAGATAAAGAGTTTAAGAAAAGCTTTACTTTTAAATGTCAAAACCCTATTCATTTAATTAGGAAGAAATTATAAAGAATTTTTCTTTATAAACTGGCTTCATAACCATGTCAAATCATTAGCTGTAAATGCCTATCTCATAGGGACTCAAGCAGTCTGAGTTATATTTTGCAGTCTCGGATGTAGCTAGCTGTACTTTGTCTGCTCTGGGTCTGATCTTTAGCAGTTGCAAGTCAGTCTAAATTCCCTGAAGAAAGTGGCCTGATGCCCAGTTATTGTGGCTGTGGCTCTGACTTACCATGCACATCGTGTTCTTTTACTGCTCTGCTCAATAAGGCAACTTCAGGAGAAAGTGCTGTCTGTCCAACCTTTCAGCATTGCCTTCTGCTAGGATGTTAGGGGTCGAAGACAAGGATTACTCTTGTTACCAACACATAGCAGATACTTTAGAAGGGAAGAAATTATTTTCTCATTTAAATTTGATTCTATGTAAGTAAAAATATGTAATTCTGTCTAGGTATTCTATGTAGGCAAATGGAAAAGAGTAGTTGTTCAGTGAATGCTGTTAAGACAGAAGGGACATGCTGCAGCCTTGGTTTTGGCCAAAATGTAGAAAGCAAACTCTTTACTCACCCTTCAAATATGTCAAAGAGCTCTTTTTGTCCTGGGATTTTTTTCCTCATGTGCATGTATCTGTATGATCAAGAATGCACATGGGGTATATCTTCTGTGGTTTTGCAGCTATACTTAATGATTTGGTGTTACTCACTGCAAGATGTGCCTTTGAGCAAAAGCAGAATCTAGGCCAAAAGTTCTTGGGGGTTGGGGCCTAGAGCACACCTGACATCATACAGACATCAGCAAGGAGAAAGAATGCTGGTATTAAGCTTTTGCAGTTTTCTCAGTAACACAAATCGTTACTAAGCATGAATGAAGCCTAACTGATGACTAACAGTGCTAAACCTGTTTCAGTGCATTTTCAGTACAGTATGGAAGACACAGACTGATTAATGAGATTTTCTTCACTACTACTAGGAATACCTAGAGAGGCAGGTTCAAGCCCTTATTGAGCTGCATGATTACATACCATAAGATGTTATTCTTCTTAACAGAGTTGGACAAATTATTACAATCAAGGCTAAGGTGAACAGAGCATTCAAAACCAGTATGGAGGTAAGAGATCATCACTCTTATTCCTAACAATATCTAAAGAACAGAAGAGAGGTGGGAGGAGTAGAGGAATGTAAGATGGGACCAGTCTTATTTGTTTCAGGAAGAAACTTTGTGCAGATACCTAAACCATAACACCACTTAATGAAACACTGATTTCATAATGACTATTATAATTGCACAATTCCTGTAAAATAATCCATGTCAAAATAGAAAATGGACCATGATGACTTTAAATCTTTGGCAGGTGTAATGAACAGGATGGAATACGTAGTGTTCGTCCTGTCCAAAGCTATTGACCTCTAAGCAGTTTTTGGATCAGAGTAGGATCCACTGAACAGATGGAGTTCTATGTAGTTTTCAAACTTCTGGTACAAAAATATTTATCTCGGGTGTATGCATGTTCTTATTCTCCATATTGTAACAAGTATGCAGTGCATTGCCCAATCACTTACTTGAAATTGGAATTGAACCTTAAGGTTCAAGGGTGCTTTTCTCTGCATTGTGCCCAAATCCAATTCTCATTAATACTAGTGGGAGTAGTGCATCTCACAGAGAATGCATTCCAAAAGGTTTTAAAAATGAGAAAAAAATCATAAGCTTTGATGCACATCAGGCCTGTCTCACAAGATCAAATACAATGCTTCACCTTCAAGTGTTTCAGTGTGTTTTATACATTTATACAGACTTTCTTTCTGACACAGATCTTAGAAAGTTTCTGATGGGTACTCCAAATGGCACACAAGTAAATGGAGAGAGATATCTGTAAAACCAAATCTAAGTGTCTTTTCTATTTTTTATTTTACTCTACATACATCCATATACAGTTGTACTGAAAAGCTTTTCAGAGCTCAGCAAATTCTGTGAAGTTCTTACATGTTCAGAGATGTATCAGTATTAGTAGACCAGGTTTTTTACCTCTTTTAGGTTTGAGAGACTGGATATGATTAATTTTATTAACACTGCAAAAATGGTGAGTCTCAATTCAACTGACAATGATGTAAATACTGGTTTTTTGTCTCCTTCCTCCACTACCTCCTTCCTTGTAGGTTGGCATCAAGGTGACAGTACAGGATGTTTTGACTAATGTTGAAAAAATAGTGAGCATGGCATACGCAACATATGTAGCCAAACCAGTTGGTGGTGGAAAGGTATTCTTTCTGTTTTCTTATCAGCTTCAAGTTACTAGGACAGAGTTTCTGTGAAATAACCCAACTTTTGTGGTTGTGAAACACAGGAAAATGTTCATACCTGTTTATTCTGATCAGTAATAGGAAATCAGCATGAAGTCCAGACTTTATGGACATATTTTTTTCACACATCTTTGCTCTGAAATTGTTAGGGGTTTTTTATTGTTTCCACTTTTTCTTGCACATTTGCTAGTAATAGAACTGGTGTCTTTGTAAGGAGCTGCAGTATTGACGAATGCAAGTGCTGGAAGAGAAATCTCTGTGAGTCTGCACAGTCTCTCTCCTTTTCAGAAACTGATCTATTATCCTGAAACCTGTAAGGGTGTTGAAGATGTGGTTTCTTTATCCTTCACTCTCCCTTTTGAGGAGGTTGTTCAAATATCACTGTTCAGAGATAGGAAATTTTTTAAGCTAGCTTCCAATCTAAGTTAATTTTTTGCCATTCATGTTCATTAGTTTTCATGCCATTGCTTTTTCTTTTCCCCAGTGTTTGGCTTCCTGGAGGTATTTAGAAGTCAGCCATGGTACTGGCTGGCCTTCGCATTGCTGTGCCAAACGGGCACAATTCTTTTAAAGTTTTCACATGAGAAAGGCCAAATATTCCTCAGATCATCTTAATAAATTTGCTTTGTATGTCCTATTCTACTTCCTTGAACATGAGCAACTAGAATCATAGATCTGACTTTTCTATCTTGTTCAGTGTGTTATGACAGTGACTCTGCCCTTTTAACATCCACTGCAGACTGGCAGAGAGCAGTCATCCCATGAGTAATTAATATATCAAATCATTTCTGCTTTGTTTTCTGCAATGCTATATTACAGTTTGCAGAAGAAACAGATCAGAACAGTTTTACCAAAACTAAAGCTCACCTTGTCTCTGAAAAGATAAGGGCTAAAGCACTTAAAGCACTAAAATAGTATAAACTAACGATTGTTTACTATTGGTTTGATAGATCCATGTCATCAACCCATTTACCTTTTGTCCAAATTTCCTCAGAGGTTAATTCAGGATTAAATTGGTGATGATTAACTAAGATTAGCCTTAAGACAGGAATGCCCCAGAGGGAGTTTGAGGCTTCAATTCAAATTCCATCACAAATTAAAGTCTTGAGAAATTAAAGAATGTTTTTTTCAAATCTACTTTTCTGAACAACTGTTGCTAAAGTTTTGCAGAGAGCAGCAGTATGCACTCACTGTCTTAATCTTTTAGCTGGACCATCTGGAAAAAGCTAGGAAGCTCTTGAGGGGGACCAGAAAGGAACAAAGGAAACTGCAAGAAGGTTTGCATGAAGACTCAAAGACTGAGAAATATTAGCAGCAGCACTGCAGGACACTAAATGTTAGATTTGTCTGTGTTGCAGTGCTTGTACATTATTTTAAGGTTTCTGAGGCTAGACCTTGTAGACAAATCACACAAGTGACTGTTCAGTGGCACCTCTGCAGTATTTATCTAAATGTAGTTTTCTTAAGCCAGTGCAGGTTTGGGTTCAGTCTGTCATTGAACTGACATACATGGGAATTAGCACTTAAGGGAGCAAAAGTTCAGATCCTGGCAGGAGAAGGGCACATGGAGGATTTTGGGCATGAATGTATAGAGGCTGAAGCTGCACCAAGTGCTGGGTGTTCATGGGTTTCTTCTCCGCCTCAAGAAACCAGTGCTTCTTTGAATAGAAGTCCTCACATAGCTGGAATGGATCTGTGAGTGTGGAGTGTATTGTTAAAGAGGAAGAGGGCTATTTGTGTAGTGAGGGGAAGTGAGCTCTGGTGTACACCTTCCAATATACTACACCACTGATCAATGTGACTGAATTATTTTTCTGATACAAAATTCAATACTCTAACCCTCATATTAAGATCTTGTTTTCTTTTTTCTGTTTTTTTTGGTTTTGTTTTTTTTTTTACTGAGAACTGTCTTAAACTTCATGTGCTCTCGTGGATGTTTGTATTTAAAAGCTAAAAGCACTTTGTCATTGAGTTTTAATAATTCTGAAAGGATAATGCAGAATCTCTTGAACTTTAACTCTGTGCTTGTTTGTATTAATACAACTTGTCATCATGGACAGTTGATAGCAAAAGGCTGTAGAAAATGCTGATGCCATTTAAGTTCAAAGTACACTTTGTTATGATTGTGGCTTTCAGAACTTTTTTTTTGTTTGTTTGTTTGTTTGTTTGTTTGTTTGTTTGTTTGCTTAGATTGAATTAGAACCTGTAAAGGTTCTGTCTACAGAAGACCACCTAGAGTACACTCTGGCTATTGAGAGAAGAAGAATCCGACTGGGCTATGAACAGGTCTTTCAGAACCTGATGCAGGAGAGTAATAAGGAAGGTGATTACTGTGGTCAGCATAGAAGATGGAACAAATTACTTATGGGTCATATGGGTCACATATGGGAAGGGAGGAAAAAAGCACACAAAACATCTGAGTAAAGCTCCTTGATGTTGTGGTATCATGTAGAAAAGTGTGTGCCAGATTTGTGAGGGTGTGTAAGACAGTTATTCTAGCAGAGTGGTATTTATTTGTCTTTCAGAAACTCCAGACTTAAAAATGCAGGATTGAAGGCCAAGCATTTAAATAGACACGAAATTAAGATCTTCATGTAGGTTATATGTGTAAAGTTTAACAGTTTACATAGCACTTCGCAATATGGTAATAAAGTCCTATGACACTAGTTGTAATGTAGATAGAAAGATAAAATTTACTCAGGTTTATGGCCATGTCCTTGCAAGAAAGCACTAAGAACTATGTTTACGCTGTGAGATATTCCCAACAAGCAGGAGAAACTTCATTTCATGGAGGTCAAAACATGTTTAAAAAAAAATTAACCAAATTAGAAAAATTGAGTGAAGAAAAGGTTTGTCTTTACTTCTGATAGTAACCTCAGTTCTTAATGATGGTTGTGTTCAAAAATTGCTGTGTTACCCTGCAGAAGAAATTGCTCACAATAGTTAAGAAATATGCTGGTATTTGGAAAATCTGAGCTTTAACTCCATGTATAAACAACAGACATCATGTGGTTTTACTGAGGAAAGATGAAACTTGTTGTAAATACAAATTCTAGTCTTAACAATTTAATAAGACTGTGTGGACCTGAAGAGACTTGAGCGAACAAGTTATTTGACTTTATGGTAATAGTCTTATGGTTAATACCATAAAGACAAATCAGAGGTTGATGATTTTGGTTTCCACTGCCTTGCCTGGAAACTTCCTTGAAGGATGTTATAATTGTTAGCACTAATTCACCTCCTTAAAGGGACAGAACAAGCAAAATACAGTAAAGAGAGAGAAAAATATTGCATGTGAAGTCTGCCAGGTAGCAAAATAGGTATAAATCAGATCCGGACAGTGAAGTTTGTCTTCTGAGTGGATCTTATGCAACAACCTAAGTAGGTCCAAAGTGCAAGTTAGTCAAATGCATCCACACATTTATATAATCATAAAGTTAGTTAATTATGGCAAAAGTCAAAAGTACAACTCAGGTCAAGTAGCTTTTAGTGAAGATATGTACTTTTAAAATCACTGACTTCATCTCATGCCTAAATCTGTTCTTATATAACTGAAAAAACCTCAAAGATTAGCATGAGGATGTATGGATAAACATTTGAGAGTGGAACTGGAAATACTCAGTAGAAGGTGGTTACTGATTCAGATCCATATTTCTCTCTTTTGTGTGTTCTGTATTGTCTCTGGTAATCACAAGATTAGTAACAGGTTATGAAATAATCAAGTCATATTCCAACCTTGATTAGACACATTTGCACAGGTGCCCCTCATACATGGTTGTGCTGGTTTTGGCTGGGTAGAGTTAATTTTCTTCACAGTAGCTTGTATGGGGCTATGTTTTGGATTTGTGCTAAGAAAGAGTGTTGATGTTTTGGTTATAGCTGAACAGTGCTTACTCAGAGTCAAGGCTTTTATTTGCTTCTCACACCACCTCAGCGAGGAGACTGGGACAGCTGACCCCAGCTGACCAGAGGGATAGCCCATACCATGTGACTTCATGCCCAGATGTCAAAGTTTATGAAAAGCATTTAAGTGATAAACTGCTCTGACAACATCTGTCAGAGGTCATGAATAGCAGCTGTGAATAATCACAAGCACCTGCTGAGGCTGCTGGCTCCTGCATTCACCACTAGCCAAGTTTCACAATAACTGCTTCTTACAGAGCTTCTTTAAAGGATATAGTGAGGTCTGGGAAGACTCACTCTGCTGTGATAGACTGTGGAGTGCACCATCCCCCACCTCTTGTGTCTCTTGGAAGAACAGAGGCAATCTTTAGCCTCTTGCTTCCTTTGCAAAGAACAGGTATCTTTTCTGTCCTTCCTTTTTTCTTCTTTTTATTGTGTCTGAAGCAAGTGGCACACTTCAGTAAGTGGGGATGTTCTTGGCTATCAAAGTTAGCTGAAATAATTCATTAATACATTCCTGCCATATTTCAGATACTTTTGAAGAGGAAGATGCAGTTTCAACTGACCTTACTCATGTACAGAGTATTGAGCTTGTCCAGCCTCCTCACGCAAACCATCATGGAAACACTTTTGGTGGCCAGATCATGGCTTGGATGGAGACAGTGGCAAGTATTTCAGCAAGGTACTTTTCTGCATCATAGTCTTTACTCATGGTTCTCAATGGATGTGATGTTAATATTAAGGGTTTCACGGGGATTTATTTTATGAAAAATACAGACCCAAACTTTTGTGACTTTTCTTTCTCCTCAGATTGCAGGAGGCCATTGAACTATTTGTGTGGCACAGTTCCCACAGCATGCCACACCACTGTGGGAGTCAAATATTATTCTTCTATTACATGCAGACCCTAAGGCAAAAGAGGCTATGTTATCCTCCTGAGAATCTCTGCAGAAAGTCAGCGTTGGACATAGGATTAGAAACTTCCTGTGGTTGTGTTTTGAAAAAGCAAAGTTGTTAAATCAGAATAAAACAGATAGTGACCCTCTATCGATACCCGGAAGTGAACAGCCTTCTAGTCTGCAGATCCTTATGTCAGAAGAAAGAATAAGTCAGAGAAGAAGAATCAAAAGAAGCAGGTTCTCTTTTGTTGGTACACACACAGAATGGATGCATAACCTTCCACAAGTCACTTAACCTTTTAGTCTTTTGGAGTCCTGCGTCCTATGAGTTGTAATATTTTTAGCAGTTTAAAGCTCTGTTTTTTGCTCTGACATATTCAGGTAGTAAGTGCAAAGTATTTTTGTGACACTGTCTATTATTGCTTCTCAGTATGGCCTAGACATAATAATTTAATTTCTTTTCCCCTGAAATCAAGCCATTGTTTTTCTCCTTCCTTGTTCTTGGATGCTGTACAAAGCTTCTTTGTAAGCAACACTTGAGTTTCAGTTTGAATTCTCCTTGCATACTGAGTGACCTAATTCACTGCAGGGATGTTAGATATGTTTTCACTTTTTAACTTTAATAATTAAATGACTTCTCCATTCATTATTCATATAGTTTTGATTGGTAGCCAGTAGTTGTACTGATAACAACAGATTTTCTGTAGTGGTTGGATAAACAGCTTGTTTTAGTAATATTAGAATGCACTGACCTTACCCCAGTGTGTAATTCTGTTGGCTTCAAAGGGATTGTTTCAGATTTTTGCCATAACATGACCCAAAATATTTACCTGTTTTCATTTGACAGATTTTAGCTAGTGAGAGTCACAATTAAGTTTAAAAAGAGAAGGAAAACATCAGCAAACCAAGTACTGAAAAATTTTTCTTTGAACTAATGAATGTCAAACAAGATTTGTCATGTTGAAAATTTCAGAAATAATAGCTGGTGACAGAGGCTTGTTGAGAACAGAGATTTTGTAGTTTGTGCTTGAGAAATAGCTAGTCTCGCTACAAACCTTTTGCAAGGCCACTAACAATTAGACCTGACCTTTGAAGGTGCCAGTTAAGAGTTGCTATGGCCACAAACTCTGATGGAAAAATGGAAGAGGAGGGCTAACCCTTGACAAATAAATTTCTACAAGCATTTTAAAGGTCTTTTAAAGGCCTTCCTTCTCCCCTCTCCCCCCCACCACTCCTACAATTTTGCCTGGACAGGAAATTATAATCTTGCAGCTAGCAGTAAATCCATTTGAATATTAGTAATATTAGTTTGAACTGGATCTGTCCTTTCTTATTTCTTACACTTGCAGTAAAAGCATTCAGTGCATAGTTTTCCAGGAAAAATTGAGTATTTAGGCCAAATTTCTGTTTTGTTCCTCTCTTATTTTCAAAAATTGTGTTTGCATCTTTATAGTGAACATTGTAAATAAGAACACCATTTAACATTTTCAATCAGAAGAGCAAATTATTCTTAATGAAATCACAAAGTCATTTGAATTTATTAGTCTATTAAAAAGATGTACCAGTCAATTAATTAGCTACAGATAATTGTGTGTGTTTAACAATACTGGCACATTAGTTTGCAGAGTGCAGTTGAGTTAAAAGCTAGGAACACTACAAAGCTGTATTTTTCAAGTTTAAAAACTGCATGATGAAAAATCTCTTCTCAGATGTGCATATGGGATTCTTACTGAGGAGTTTTGCACACATCGATGAGGATGGAGCATGTTTTTTCAAAGTCTAAAAATAAATGACATTATTGTATATTGTTCCCTATTCATGTGATGCACAGAGATCCCAGTAAAGAGTGGGGCTTTGACTACATTTAGAACTGCTGAAGAAACCTAATTTTTGCCAGCTGTGGAAAGCTTGCAAACTAGATCCCGATCCACAAAGCCTTAAGCTGTATCTGTACTGCAGATTTTTTTCTGGAACATCTGTGAAGTTCAGAAAAGTGGTGGGTTGTTGGAATTCCCTAATGTAGATGACACAGTATTGCAAGACTTTTCCTTTAGCAGTGTAGCTGGGTTTGATCAGGTGTATATCTGTTTGTCCACTGTATCTGTCCAAAGAGTATCTTTGCTCATATGTTCCTGGAAAGGGTACTCACCTGGCACAGACAAGATTCTGTACTAGGCCAGCAAAGTTTTGCTAGAATAGCTATAGGCTATTTCACAAGCACTTCAAAGAGGTCCGGTAGAACAACCCAGCTGAACCTGACTGCATGTAATTGAACACAGTCCAGGATCAGGTCTGAAATAAGGAAAGACGGGTGAGTGGATGCACTATGCAATTGGAAGGACAAAGGGAATAGAATTACTAAAATTTTTGTGTTTGTGCTTTCAGCTTTTGAAATTTAGCCAATAGTCCTGTGTTACTGAGTTGATGAGTGATCAGTTCAACATCTTTCTGTCTCTTTTGTATGTGCAAAGATGAGTTTCCCAAGTCAGCACCAGAAGCAAACTGCACATAATTTAGTAAACCAGACCAAATTAAAAAACAAAACAAAACCAACTACATATTTGGCAGTTATCTGAGTAGTTTTTTATTCTTATTTCATGCAACACTAGCAGAAAACATCTGACAAACAATAAAAGAGTACCAATAATTAAAAGAATAGATAGATTGACATTTTGCTAGAATGCTGTTTCTGGTGCTCAGCCTTCTGCCCAGGTTTCTTTTAATGGTTTAAAGGCTTTATGATCTGGCATTTTTACATACTGGGCAATATCCCACTCCTGATGCAGTCATATAGAAATTAATGTGACTCTGAAGTAAGTGGCTACTTTGTAGGTAAGGGGTTCACGGTCTGGCTCCAAAAGAAGATAATATCAAGCAGTGAGTATTAATTAGTCAGTGTTTGTAAAGTGTGTTGAAAATGAAACAGCACAACGTAAGTGGTATTATTATGTTTGAAGCTTGAATTATGTCCTCTTGTAGCTGAACATGTTAACTGTATTTCAGTAGGTTATGGAATAAATTAGTGTAATACAGTTATTTTCTAGGTTGTGCTAACCTTGTTGTTATAATCACTACCTACTTCAAACCTAACAAAGGAGGTTGTCTAACATGACTGTCTGATTTTCTCTGTCTCTCTTGCTTTCTTTTTCAGCCGCCTTTGTCGTTCATATCCCATCCTGAAATCAGTAAATATGTTTAAATTCTGGGGACCATCTGTTGTGGGCGACCGCCTTGTCTTTAATGCAATTGTGAACAATACATTTCAGAATAGGTAAAGTTCCTCATCCGCTTGTCTTCCTTGACTTCTCCAGCATGAACCTGACTGCAGGTTTCAGGTTTCAGCTATCAGTAAGATTTGCATTATTTAATGAATTTTTCTTCAGCTGGGGCTTTGAGGGATATATCTACATCTAGCTATGTCTCTGTATCTATCTGTCTATATATGCTTTCTTTACTTAGTGAAATCTGAAAAAAAATTATTCTCTGACTTTCACACTCAATTTAAAGATCATTTGTAACCAAATCCCAGTTCTGCAGCCTCAGACCATAAGTATGTCTCTGAAATTCAGAGATTTTCAAGGGATGAGTTGGTCCCACACCTTTGATTCTTCAGAAAGCTTCAGCTTGCTTCCAGGATCTTCCTGTCTTGGCATCATTGACAGATCTGGGTTCTATTTACTGCTGGTTACTGGCAAAATTCATGCTTTGTTTTGTTTATTTCTTCCCAGCCTTGGTTTGGGTGTATGCAGGGGTGAGTCTTTGCCAGTTGCAGTTTGGAATAAATGGCTACAGCCCATGCTGAAATTTTATCTTCAGTTGAGCACATAGTCACTGTAAGCATGAAACATAGATTTTTGGCACACTGAATGCCTGCTTTTGGAATTTAGTGATGTGGCTGTTGACCAATCATGCACAGATCCTGCCTGCTAATGGTTATTGTCTCTTTCTCTCTCCTATGCATGCGCTATCTCCTCTGCAGTTTCAGGGATACTGTTATATTTGCCTCACAGAGAATGACTCCCCTCTGACCTTTGGCAAAGGGATAGCACCCCTCTTCTAGGCTATTTCCCCATTTACAGAAATGGTGCTTTGGGACAACAGACCCTCTGGTTATGCCAAGGGTGTGACACATCTGATGTGGAGCCCTCTTTCAGCAGGAGGACATGTTCAGAAGTTGCAAGAAGTATAGCAAGACAAGCTACAAGAAGGCAGAAGCTAAAGTAATTCCTGCTCCAACTGTACATGAGAGAAATGTTATCTTGTCATTGCTGTTCTGTGGCTGTTTTCTTTGTAGGTGTATTTAGTCCCCTCAGAATGCAGTAGGGGCATGAATTACCTTCATATATGCTTCTGCTGAATGTCAAATCAATATCATCCTGATCACTTTTGCTGTTTATTCTCACAGTATGCTTACTCGTGTTCATTGTGTTACTTAGCTCAATTTTCGTTTTTCTTATTAATGCTATTTATCTAGTGCCACTTTTTATTTTATTTTATTTCTGAAATGTGTACATCCAGACTGAGTAATTTATTTTGTATACTATACAAGGTATTTGAGTCAAGCTTCCTGCACACAGGAAAGTGTACAGCAGCCCTTTGTAGTATATCTCATGGCCGCATCACTTGTAGTAGTTCAATAATTAATTTAAACTTCTATTTCAGTGTGGAGGTTGGTGTCCGTGTGGAGGCATATAACTGTGAAGAATGGATCAAAGACCAAGCACGGCACATTAACAGCGCATTTCTCATTTTTAAAGCTGTAAATGACAAAGGAGAGCTGCTCACCTTCCCTAAAATCAAACCTACTACAAAGGTCAGCTGTCATTCTCAGGAGTAGGATGAATGCATACATGAGATTATGTGGTTCAGCCCAGCACACTGCATGTCACACTGTAACCCTGCTAGGAAAGCAAGGACTAAACAAGGTTGTGCACTGAAATGCACCTTATTGCAAAGCAGAAAACCTCTAAATGAAATCTTTGACTTTGAGTGAGAGATTTGTCATCGTTAACTTCAGTCATCCAAAACTGAAAGGTGTAGTGGAGGGTAGTCATCATTAGAAGTTCTGTAGTTAATGGGCAGGGCAAAAGAATCTGCTTTTTACAGACTTTTGCACCTGTTTGTATCTGTCTTGTGCAATTTTACTGACTAGAAGCCGCTCAGACAGCAAAAAACTGACTCTTAAGTGTTCAGTGAATAAAGTTTATTTTTATAAACCCTTAACAAAGATGAGAAAGAGAGGTAATAAAGCTGTCTGTAGGAACCCCATGACAGAAGTGGGCTTCTGGTTGCTATGACATGGAGATCTCAGCATGTGTTCCCCTGAAAAGTGGTTCATGAAGCACACTGAGCCATTTAAATACTATAGTTGAATTATTTGCTGTGATGTCACCTGTCATTAACCTTAATTCTCCAATTACGAGATTTTTAGAGTGCCAGTATAGACAGTAATTATTTACATTATTTAACATCAGTGAACTTACATTTCATAGGATGGCAACTGGACCTATAAATCAATGTGTCCTATGTACTAGGTGAGGCAGTAAGGTTCACTACTGCCCATTACAGACTGCTCCAAGAGGAAAAACAAACAAACAAAAAAAAAAACCCAAAAAAAGACATAGCAATTTAGCTTCTGTCAGAAAAACAGTGCTTCCCTTAAAGACCTCCTCAGAGAGCCATCCACAAGCTAAACATCAAGATAGAAACATGTACACCCATTCCTTCAAAAGTCAAGCAAGCAAATCTGGGAAAATTTGCATGTGCTCAAGGTAGTTTAAACTTTTGGTCATCATTTGACTGACATTTGACAACTAGTATGGCAGTGCTCTACAAAGCAGGTAAGAGAAGTCTTAAAAAAATATTATGTGTTCTTATGTTTAAGGAAGGCTGAGATCCACTAATCTGGAGATTCTTCTTATTCCAGAAGCTACAGGTCAGCTCTTAAAAGCACAGAAAATAAGTTTTTTCCAAAGTGACGTACCCTTCAAGATAACAAGTCCTATTGACCTTTAACGCAGTTTGGTGTGGTGTATGCTCTTCGCTTCTGTGCTTCAAAAAAAAAATCCACGCCAGCAGAGTAACAGTAGGCGAAGGAAAGACCTGCCACCTTGAGGGGCAGATCACATCCATTTGTGTCGGGGTAGGCAGCGGGTCTGCTGAACGCCTGGCAGAGCAGATGGCATTTAACCTCAGCCAGATCATCCCGTACCCATAAGAAGTCTGCATGCAGGAGGGCTACCACAGATAAGGAGCAAGGACAGCGAACATCTGCTGGAAGAAACATGAAACTGTTGAACACAGATAAGGAACTGTGTTAATCATGTTCAGAAGTAAAACTTTAAGAAAGCTATCCAATCATGTACCGTTGCTATGGGTGTACCATTGCTATGGGTTTAGCTAATTATGTTAGAGCTTGCGGTAGTTGTAAAAGATATATAAAGTATGTAGAAAACAATAAACACACTTCTTCTTCTTTTAAAAAAAAATTAAAAAAAAAAAAGGGGGAATTGCCAGGCGTTCAGTAGACCCGCTGCCTACCCCGACACATTTGCACAGTGCTTTCTCTATGTCCCAGATCCATGTGCAGTAGAATAAGGATTCTTCCATGCTTCCTTTGTGCTTTGAACATCAGATGATGATGAATTGGCTTACTAGTTTATTTGGTGGGTGGCACATTTAGAAAGAATAGAATGTGTATGGTGCACTGCCACTGGTTTAGGACCCCAAAATTGCTAGAAGAATGCTACTCTGACACAACTTTTCTAATGATTGTTTTTGAAAATTTAAGGGAATATTGTCAAGTCAGAAGTGAATCACTGAGTCAAGTTAATCTGGGGAAAGTCTAATGCACATAGTACAATTCTTTATTTATTTGTAATACAACTCTGGCATTTGCCCATCTATTAAAAAAAAAGGTTTTAGTTGTATTTTTTTTTAGAGGGTGTCCTAAAATAATCAGATGTGTTACTGTCTGGTTTACCTTTTATAAAGGATGACCTGAGGCGATACCATGGAGCTATTGCCCGAAGGAGAATTCGACTAGCCAGGTATTGTTGGGTTACAAGGCAAATGTGATTTTGAAAACCTTATTTTTTAATATATGCTCTAAAAATGTGATCATTTGTTAATATTGTGGATGAGTGATTTGAGATCCTGTCAACTACACTCAATTTGTCACAAATCCTGATTAGGATCCTGCTGATCCTACTTGTCATGAATGGGAGATTTAGATCACTTAAAGAATCCCCTTCAAATGTATTAGCAAAAAGTGATCTGAATTTGTGAAAGTGCGACTTAACAAGGTTTGCTGGCAAGGTTCACTCTATGGCTTGCTACATGAAAGAAACATACAAAAGAAAATTGAGTTAGAATCTATCTAGAGTGATTTACACGGAGACCAGAGATGCAAAAAGGGAGACTCTCCCATTGAGTCATGAGATTCAGAGTGGACCCCCTTGCTTCCTAAATTTATCAGAAGGGAGTCTGGATTCAGCTAGATCTAGCCCTTGTCTCAGATTGGGACAGCAGTTTATGTCTAATGGAATTAGCTACATGGATTTCATTGATATTAACTCATCATGCTATCAGTCATTTACCAAGGATCTGCTGTGAATAAGGGTTCTCTCTGCCTTGGGTAAGGAAGGATCTCTTAGTCTCAGATAAAGAATCTCAAAACCTGAGAGGCATCCCTGCTCAATGGGAGAGTCAGCTGGTGTGCAGCCCAGTTACCATCCAGGGAGAACTTGGATTGGGCTTATCCAAAGTCTGTCATTTGTAAAAGGTCTCTGAGTGGAGGAGCAGCCTTAAGAGACATCCCAGTTCACAGGGAGATCGCTGCCATGCAGCCTCACTGCCTAGCAGGGAGAGGTCAGAGAAGGCTCACTTAGGCTGTCATATTTATGGGATAGAGTGGTTGGCCCATAGTCAGATTGCATATTATGGGAAGGGTGTGCGTGAGACTCCTTGTGCCCACAACTGTCTTTGTTCCTTGATAAATGAGTCTTGGAAAAGCAACCTGCTGTTCAGCTGTTAATCTCATGATTGGTGATCCAAGCTCATATGGTCACTGGGTCACTCGGTTCCTTTGTGGGTTTCCTAGAGGAGTTCCTGGCCTAGCTACAGCTCAGGCCTTTGCCTCCTTTGGAGCCTGTACCAACCTACTGCAAGTTTGGTTAAGGGGCGGTTGAGTGCATCCATCACAGTTAAGTAGTCAAAATTACCTCAAACATAACTGTTACGGTTTTTTAACTTTCCAAATAATTTTGCCTGAGTTCCACTGAAATTATTAGAGGATGCTAATCTTAGAAATACCTGGCTTTGTAGGTTATTTTTTTCCCCATCTTTCTTGGCAAGAAAAAGGAATTCTTGCAAATCTGTCTTGCAACCAAAAAATGGTAAAATATTTGTACTTAGAAGACACTTAAGCCTATAGAAGTGATTGTTTCTAGCATATATAGAAGAAAAGTGTAAAAAAATAATTCACGCTATTATTTTTCTTTTAATTTTGTTTTAGAAAATGCATGCTGTCTGCTAAAGCAGACAAACCTTCTGATCCCTGGGAGAGAAGTAACCAGGTAATCTGGGGATCATATCCTATTGTCTGCTGATATTAAAAGTGATGTATCTGTACACTTTTTGGGTGTGTAAAACAGTTGTACAGACAGTATCACTTTCCAGAGTGGACCTTGTGTACTTAAGTGTTACAACAGTCATGGAAGAATGGATAAATGTATAATAAGATGAATGGGTTTTTTTTAATTCTGAAAGAAGAGAGTAGATGGTTCCCTATTGATTTAAGAGTAAATCTCTTACAAATCATAAAAGATTTCTGTAAGATAGACTCTTTTTACAGGCGGCCCCTTAAGCAGCTGAGTTGTAAGGTCTCCTACAGATTTATGTCCCCATGTCCCCAGGTCATAAAAAACTGAATTCTCCTGTAGAGGAATTAGTTTGTTGGGGCTTTTTTTCTTTATTCAGACACTGACTTTCTTAAAAATTGCTGTGAGGAGACCATTTAGTAAATGCTAAAAGTGTGGGGAGAGACAGCATAATGCCAACAGACAGATGAACAGTGAAATAATGTAAACTTTCTTTCTATGGGAAGGACAGGTGAAAATGTTCATTTCTAGACACTCTGCATCAAGTGTTATGTGTTTCTGGCTTGGACATTCTAGGCCACAGAATGTGCCTATGTCATGAAATTAATAGAGACAAACCTGAATTGAGATGGATTTATAGACACCCTAAATGTTGTTTCAGTGTCAAATTTTTGTGGTTAAATTTTCTTTGCTTTTAAGATCTCGGTGGCTCCCAGAAATTTTACCAGGTCTTTTTCCATTACATGAAAAAAAAAAAAAAAAATATATATGCAGCAAGTGATTTGCTGTTAACAGTGGCATTTCCACCGTCTGAAGCAGCATTTATTTTCTGCAAAACAATAAATATAAATATGCTCACAATGATAAAAATGGCTTAAGATTTATTTAATATTAAAACCTGTCATTAAAGATTCTAAGGCTTTATTCTCTTTATGCAGTGATTAAGGGAGAATTCCATCCACTGTAGTCAAACATAAATAAGGGATAAATTTTCACTTTTTATGCTCTGAGCCTGCTGTGTAAAGCAGTTGTCAAGATAAACCACAGCTTGATGGCAACGAAGAGGTTAATTTTCTAGTAGGTTTTAATTACTTAGGAGGAAGATGGACAAACCCATTAATTTAGTGGTCTGAGAGGTTACCTGTATTACATCTCTGGTGGTCACAGTTTTTCTGCACTGCTTCATAATTGGAGAAACCAAAAGTAGTATTATGTTTTTGTTTAGTTAAGGTTGTTTTGCCAACAGCCATGTGAGCACATCATCTGGCTATTGAAAGTATTTAATTCAGAAACTACTTGACTGTGTTTTCTGGAAGGAAAACACTTATGGGAAAATAGATATTTGTTTGCGATTGACAGAAAAAGAACATCTCATTTCTGCAATGTTTAGTGAAATGTACCTTTACTACTTCATTTTCAGAAATGTTTCTTGTGTTTCAGGCGTATGTGAGTTACAGCAATATAGCTGCACTGGCACAGCTAGCAGCAAAACCGGGATGGGAAATAACCAGTACGCTGGATGATGTAAGTGCATAATTGTGTAATAGGTACATGGCCACTTCAGTTATGTCTCACCATAAGAGGTAGGCAGAGAAAAACATTGTTTTACATGTGTAAATAAATACATTGGCTAGGCAGTGTTTGTTTTTATGGTGACTAGGTCTGAAAACCAAAACTGCAGTTTCCCTGAAATGTTGCAAAGCAACCTCTGATTGTCCAGAGTGCTTTGCAACCTGGAAGTGCCAAAGAGTTCTTCTAAGATGGCCTGAATGTGTTGTGAATCAACACAGGACTTGGGATCCCAGAAGGGCTGGCTTACTAGTAACTGATCAGCTGTGCTTGCTGAGCAACACACAGCAGAGCATAAAAACACAGTTACCATCTCATTTGTGTGAGGCATTTTCTTTGCCACAACTGATGTGCTTCTGTGGTTTTGCTAAATTGCTTGATTCCAGCAAAACACCAAACTAGAACATCTTTGCTTAGGCAGTGCTGTTAGGGCTTCTTATATCACTGTGATAAGCAAAATGTGTGTGGCTGTCTGTAATATTCTGCCTTTACCACTGTGCAGCATGGGAGAAATTTCTAAGTAGCAGTCACTATCATGCGATGGTTCCAAATGGACACTGCCATGGGCGGGTAGCAGCAATTTATATACCCGATTTTTCAGTCTTTGTTTTCTCAGAAGACCACTTGACTTTTTCTGTGCTTGTTTTTTCTTTCAGCTATTTTTCTTTCTGCCCTTTTTTCTATTTAAAAAGTATAAAAGCCTGAAAGCAAAGCACCTCCCTGTTCATTGACCAGTGTTATAAGATCAGAATCAGTAAGGAATCTTGTGTAAGCCAGTTTTAAGGTAGGAAGATTCTGTTAATAAAACCAGTAGCAAGATAATTTAGTTGGGAAAACTCAGTTTTAATCTAGATGCAGTGCAAATTTTCCAAACTATTGAGAGATATCTTAAGGTTTGGTTTCTGAAATAGGGTTATTCAGTCACTAAGATTACTTTAAGATTATGTAGATTCAGAGATGTTTTGAGACAAGAAAAGACTGTTACAATCTTTCAGACTGACCTCCTGCGTGTCACAGGCTATGAAACTTTACTTACTTATTCTTGGATCTAGTCAATAAGCTACTTGAGCAAGAGCATATATAAATCGTGAGGAATTCCAGTGATGGCAAAGTTGCTGTTTCCATGTGTAGGTTGTTCCAGTGGTTAATAACTTTCAGCAAACAGTGCTGTTGGCAAATAGATGATGGACAGCTCTCATGCTGGAAAAAGCAAGCTTGAACAATCAGACTGAATCATTAAGCGTTATTTTTGAAGCCTTTGCTAAGACTGTATTATTATCCATGTGAAACTTCCTTTCTCCATCCACTGGGACTGCCACAATTTCAGTTTCTTTCTTAACACTAAATGCTTGAAACCTGTAATAGGACCAGCACCAAATGTTATGAAGAAATTACTTCATACAAAAAACACAAACCCCATGCACATTCTGGATGACTGTTCTGGTTTTGGCTGGGATAGAGTTATTTTCCTGTGAGGTTAGGCTCAGTATATAAAGGAAGTGGGTTCTCTCTCACTTCTGGTTTGCAATGGTGGGATCTTCATTCTGTCAGGATCGCTGGCTGAGGGTGGGCTGCATATTGGTCAGTGGGTGGTGAGCAGTGGCGTTGTGCATTACCCATTTGTACTTTCTATTACTGTTATTGTTTTGGTTTATTACAATTACTAAACTGTTTTTTATCTCAACCTACAAATGTCCCTTTATCCCTCTGATATCACCCCCATTCACCAGGCAGGGGGAGGGTGAGAGTGTCTGTGTGATGTTTGGCTGCCAGCCGAGATCAAACCATGACAATGACATTTTGAAACAGCATGATGTTATTTCTTTCTCTCAGCAAGACACCATGTACCTTCCAGTACTGAGTCAGGAACTTTCACCCCCTTCTCAATATCTTAAAATAGTCTTGATAGTAAGATCTGCCTCTAAGCCATTTAGGCCTTATCTGGTGGCAAAACCTCAGTAGCTTTTCCTAGCTGTTCTTTCATCTAATCGAAGTACACATCTTAAATCCAGAAAAATCTCAGGAGGGATGTAGGATGCAAATCACACTGATGCTGTCAATGGGTGGAGAGTTGCCATCTACTCCCATTGTTCTGGATAGTTCTGCATAATCTGTCAGAATCCTTAAAGATATTCCTTAAGGAAGTGTCAGGGATCCAGGGTAGCACACTACCTTTTTTTTTGTCTGAAAGGATGTATGCAGTGAACAGTGGTAGCAAACCACACTTACGCAGGCCTCTTCACTTGCTGTGTACCACTTATTCCAGTAAATCTTCTTACTTACTTACATCTACTTGCAGGCACAAGGTAGGCTGCTGACAAAGTGTGGATGTCAGCAGTAGGCAGAGGGTACATTTGTGCTGATATGTGATGGTATGTTTACCTATAAATTAACACCACTAGGTGTATTAGATTTGCTCTTTGGTAAAGAAAGTGAGAGTGAAATCTATCTTGGACTTTACCAATACAGCTCCTCCAGTCAAATTCAGATGTGTGCTCAAATCCCTAAATGCTGGTATAGGTGCAGCTCCAAGGAAGGCTTTCTGACAGCTCTAAACATTACATTATCTTTCCTTAAGCACTGCAGGCCAGCATACACACATCTTGCGGTCTTACGTTCTCTGCACTCTTATACCAGGTCTTGATCTTGTACAGTGGAGTAGGCACAGAACAACTACTCAGCCTTCTCTGGTAGACACACATAGCAGCATCTCCAGTCAAACAGATCTCTTCAATGTCCATGAAATGGTTTCTTGGGGAGAGGCTGAAAGAACAAGTAGTGGGAATCAGATGGTAGTACTGATCAGTGCTCTGTCTGAAGGCAGAGTACTATGGGAAAGGAGACTGTCAAAGACATTAGACTGAACTGTGTTTTAGAATTAAATATTCTGGTAGGTAGGTTTGGCAAAGCAGCGTGAGCTTCTCTATATGCAGAGGATTTGTTTCCTTCTCCCTGGAACTAGAATGACTCCAAGTTGGTTGACGGTTTTTGAAGGTAGAAAGTGGCACTGTGAACTCTTTCACATAGAGCCCCAAGGCTTTTAGGCCTATAGTAGTAATCTAGCCTTGCCAATGTCCACTTAACAGCTGCACCTCCCACTTTGTTTTGTGATTAGTCTAGAAGACTCCTAAGACAACATGATTTCTATGCCTTAGAGAAATATTGATCCATGTATCCTGCAGCTGGTTTCTAAAGCTTGTAGGCCTTTTGTTTTATGCCAGACTTTATTTCAGTAAGATGCTTGCTGGATTATGTTGGCTTTTTTTTTTCTCATTCCAAAACATGAAAAATATGAAAACATACAAAATCTGTGTTGTTGAACAAATGCTCTGTTAACCAAAAGACTGTTAATTATTAATACAGAAAAAAAAAAAAAACCAACCAAACAACAGAGATGACAAAGCTCATGAATATTGTATCACTTAGAAATGAAAATCTGGTAAAACTTTCTAGGATTTGAGAAGTCATTTATCATATCAGATTAAAAATTGGGACTAATTCTAAGCACTCTCTTCTACCCATCTTCTTCATTATACAGGGTTATGGAACATGCCAAGCCCTTCTTTTGCAAGGATTGTACTATTCCTTCTGAATTCTCTAGTGTTAGGGTTTAGGCCTATGACTAGAAATAGACCCAAAATAAGACAAGATACTGCAAGTGTGGGACAAGTAAGGCAAAACTATGCTTTGAAATGGTTTTTCAGTATATCAAGTCCAGGCACTCTGCTTCACATAGGGGAGAAGGAAAAAAAAGATATTTTGGAAAGAGAAATGTTGAGTCGTTTCAGGGGAAGGGGACATAGGCCAATGTGTGACTGATTTGCATAGACAAACAGAGCTGAAGTGGCTGAATTCTACTAACTACTAATTAAAGACAAGGCTACTGGGCTGACCATGTATCATACAAAACCATGCCTCTTAAAGATCAGAAAGTGTTTTTGTAAAAATTTAGTCCCTTGTGGATATCTGTAGATAAGCTCTCCGAAGCTGCAATCTGCAGGATTGCTGTATGTGTTCCAAAATCCAGACGGCAGGGAGGGCAGTTGCTTGGTTTGTCTTATTTTGATGAAGTCTCACACATACTGCAAGGATGCTCATCTCTAGTATGGCTTCACTCCAGCTTGCTCCTGCTCATCAGAGCCACATCCAATGGATTCTGCTCTGTAGTTTCAAATTTCTGGAAAGCTTTAAGTAACCATCACCTGTAGATACTTTACATAAACCTACATTAATAAAGTTTATTTCAGGCCTTTCTAATAAATTGTATGTTACCTTTCCCTCCTTTCCCATATTTATGTAACTCGACCTGGCTCAAGGGCTTAAAGGTTTGGGTTAAAAAAATGGTAAAATTCTAGACTAGTACTCACCTGCCCAGGTTTAAAAAGTCCAATCTCCTGTCACCAATCACTGACGCCAAATTCATAAAAATAATTGCATGGGTTCCTCAGGCTGCCCCCGTTAGTTTCTGGAGTGTCTATGAGGAGACTTTCTATAACAAGGCTGAGAAGAGCCTTTTACCTTTATTCCTAAGTGGATCTGCTGTTGTTTATGATGACATCTACATGGTCCTGACAAGAAGAAAAATACACTGAAATAACTCAGTTTGTTCCAAGGCACCTGCAGCATGAAGGGTATTTAGAGACTCTGTATGTGCAGTGTGAGAAGGTCATACTGGCCTCTGGCTCATCCAGTTCCACTTGCAAGCTAATTCAGCTATCCCTAAAGCGACGTAATAAAAGCTGTGTGATGTCACTATGCTATCAGAGTACTTGATTTTACATTGTGCTGTATTTTAATGTTACACTAATCTTGAATACTCAGATGCCTTCTGTCAGATATAGTTACATAGGTAGTCCTGAGAAAATCTGCTTAAGTCCTAAATATGTAAAATTTTAAGTGTTAAAATATTTATAATAATAATTCTTTGGTTTGAATATGTTGTTCACTTTTCAGATAAAAATATGGACTCATGAGGAGGGTGATGTGTTGTCGCTCAAAGTTGAAATGCAGGTGAAGGTACCGTCACATCTAGCTTTCTCCCTTCTGTCTGACTTCACATTCCGCCAACAATGGGACAAACATTTCTTGTAAGAACTTATCTTTCTTTAAGACTGTTCGAGTCCACTGACAACTAACCTTTTCGAATACAAATATTTTTTGAGATGTTGACACTTTTCTACCTAATTAAGAAGGAATTGCTGTAAAAGCTGACATTAAAGATTCATTAGTCAAAGTATGGATTGTTTTTTCTTACCTTAAAAATAAAATTTAATTTCTTCTTAGTCTGATTTTAAAACACAGTTGCTCTGGACTGTCAAGAGAGACAGCTGGGACAGAGGTTACCCTTTTCTAAAATGAACACAATTCCATGCCTAGACATGTGTGTCTTAAAAGGCTTTAGTAAATTGCATATAATTTGAGGCAGATATATTGTGCATGCTCTCTGTAAAAAGTAAGGCAAAGCTGTGGACTCCTTCATGTTTGTAATGTTCAGGACACTCATGCTCAGCTTCATCGTACATTCAATGTGAGAAAGCAAGAAATGGGGTTCTTCAAAGTGCATATTTTCAGAAAAATAGCATCTTATAAAGTGTATGTGAATTGGAATGGGTTTCAGAATTGCTGCAAAGGTGTTTGAGGTTTTTTATTTACCTTATATGGTGTAGAATAATGACTAGAGAGAATTGAGTTGATATGACACCAATTTGGTATATATTCTCTTAAAGGAGAAACTTTTTTCAGTTAGTCATCCTCTTCTGAAAAATAGATCAGAGGGTGAAAGTGGAAGCTTAGGGATATTTGAAAATGTACAATCTCTGCTGAATTTATGGCTTGGAACAAATGAAATCTGAAGAAATACTATGTTGATTTTCTGTATCTACAGCCAAAAATCTCACCTTTCTTACAACTACTGTGAAGCCTGATTGACTGGTCAAAATCGAATACTGGCTTAGCAGTGATTATTGCTGAAGTAGTAGAAGCTGAAATTAAATAAATCAATAACTGCCAGTGTATAGGAAAATTCTGACTTTTTTTTTTTTTTTTGTAGTGAAAACTCAAGGGATAGTGATCAGTACTTCCAAGACAGTGAAAGAGTGTGTCCTACCCAAGTGGCCCTGTCTGAAGGGAGTAGGACACACTTTGAATAAAATTTTACAAATGTTTCCTGACTGTCTTGTGGTGTGTCAGATGGACAATGTTTTCATTCAGCGTTTGGCTTGCAAGCTGATGTAATTCCAAACAGAAATTGACAGAATGCAAAAGATACGCCTTTAAGACATGGCTGTAGCACCTTGCAGCACTTTTTAACAATTCTGTGGGACAGAGAGGTGTTGCAGAAAGGTGTTGCAGAACACCTAAATTTTTCACTCTGTCTTTCTCTATCTTTCTTGCTGCATGAATATAAAACTTGTAGGCTTAATGTTAGAATGGAATATATGTTGGTATTGTGCTTTTCGTAAGAGATGCTATTGCGTACATCAGGGTCTGCATCTGCATATGTGTGGGTTAAATGTATTTGCAGAACTTGCGAAGTCCTACAGGCTGTGAATGAAGATGAGAAAATATATTATGTTACATCTCCACCCATCACTGGCCATAAACCCAGAGATTTTGTGATTCTTGTGTCTCAAAGGCAACCCTGTAAGCCAAGGTGAGTATACAATTCCAAGTTTAAAACTGTGAGCACTTTGGAGCCACAGTTTTAATTACTGTTGACCTTTATCTGGGCCTGTCACTGGGTGGCAAAGATGGCATTTTATTTTTTCAGAAAATTAGATTAGTAGCTGATTTAAAATACAATGTGTTGCTTCTTGAGTTTGCACAACCAGATTTGTTTTGCAATATGGAGGTGCAATGAAGTAAATTCAAAGCATCACAAATCTGTAGTGTAATCCAGTATTGCTTCTTTGATAGTGACTCATCAGGAGTGGTCCATCCTGAGGGAAAATAGGCCAGAATTGCAAACAGGCATTCTGGAAAAAAACATGTCCCAGAGGGCCTGTCAGTGGAAAGCACGTAACTGGTAGTTTGTCTGTTTTAAGTGACTTTATAATCCCATCCAAAGTAATTCTGGAGATTTTCTGATTGAAGGAGGTACTTGGCCTTTCTTGAAATCTCAGTGTGATGCTTTTTTTTTTTTTTTTTAATTTAAATTTTGCTGCTGAATGTGGTTTAGAAAGTCTCATCATCACTTTAATATACATCGATTTTTTTTTTTATTAGATTTCCTTTTGTTCTTGCCCAATGAAACATGGACAAATGGGATCATTTGGTCTATCATTGTTCTTTATTCTCAGTTTCTGTCTTATATTCAGTAATTCTTCATGCTGACAGAACACTGCTTCCAAAATGGCATATTCTGCAATGTGTTTGCTTTTTTACCCCCACATCTGGGAACTGAATCATGTCTACCTTTCTGGGGCCATGCTGTAAAGCCTCATAGTAAGGTTTGCTCCCAGGCCCTGATTCTGTAAATGTGGGTCATGGAGAGCTGGATAAATTTTAAAAAGTGGGTGTTTTATGTGTGACTGTTCTGAGACTTTCCGCAGAAGGCTTCTTGATTAGAATCTGTGTCAAAGCCTTAATGAGACTCAAGAGGGCTGAATCTTTTAACATACATCTTTAAACATACAGGAGCTTGTTTGCCTTCATACAAAAATCACATCTTTGGTGTAGTTGTGTCTAGTCATTTACATGTATCTTTTTTAACATCTCATTGAAGACATATTTGATTCTTCCCTTTGCCCTGCAGTGAACCCTACGTAGTAGCTGTAAAGTCAGTGACCCTCAAGTCTATGCCACCTTCTTCAGAATACTGCAGAAGTGAAGTCCTTTGTGCTGGATTCCAGATCTACAGTGACTGCAACAGCTCCTGTACAGTGAGTAGTTCTGCAGACCTCAGCTGTGTCTCCTTTCCTGTAGTATATACATGTACATACAATCTTATTTGAGCTGACAGTCTAGAACAGTAACAGCAATATAACAAAAAATGAGTCAGTTTACCCAGAGTTCAGCTTGGTTATTAAGACATTCTTTATTCCACAAAGTGCAATCTGTCTTGCCCAACCTGAATGTTAGGAATGAAATCTAAACTAAGCACTGGAGATGGCCAGGCACCTCCAGAGTCATTCATTCAATCCAAAAACATGCTTCTAGAAGGTGCGCATTAAACTGGTCTGTGGTGGTGTCCATCTCCCTTCACTGACTACGGAAGAAATCCAATGAATTAGTTCAGATTAAATGCTTAAACTTTCATATGTCAGAAATTATGCAGTATGAATCCCATCTCTGAATCAATGACAGTCTTCTCCTTTTGATTTTTCCCATGGGAAGGCTATAACTTTTTCATTTAAGAAAATATATTTCTGAAAATTCACCCTCAATGGCTGGAATTCTTTCTTCAGGCAACAGCTTTGTTCATAAAGCACATATATTTAACAGTTTACACACAATGTTTCTTGATGCACTGCTGTGTACATTTACCTACAGATGCTTGAGGACCTGTCAGTAGTGAGGACACCGAGATCATTAAAGTACTGTAAAAAAGGCATGTCTATTTTGCTAATTATTGTCTTCAGTTTCAGAAGCACTATGTGTTTCTATTAGCATCCATAAAAACTTTGATACTCATCTAGGCTGCAAAAAATTGCTAACTATTGCATTCCATAGGCTTTTTTGTTTCATTTATTTTTGTTTAAACAGGTGTGTTACTTCAATCAAGTGACATCAGGTGTTATGCCGTACTTAGCTGCAAATCTCACTGGCTCATCAAAATCCATTGAAGACACTGCTTTGGAATGTATAAAGTTCTTGGAGCTGAAAGGCATCAAGTATTGAAGTTAAAAACAGATTTCTGAAGAGACCTCTAAAGATTATCAAGCAGTACTGGTTTAAATTCCTGCATGCATGTTGATCATTTTTCTGCTCGTTACTGTGGATTATGTAGCCAGTATTGGGCTGAGCTTGAGAACATCCAGTACAAACATTTTCTGTCAAATTAAGATTAGGCTTTAGGGTCCAATTTTTAATTTTACAAAGACTGAGGGACAGATACTGCTCTTGATTTCATTAATGAATGGAGGCAGAACTTGGCCCAGCAGAATTGTAGCTCATGGGACTATTTTACTATTTTGATGTTATTTTGAATGGAATGGCATTCAGTCAGTCTTAAACCAGTAAATGCCCTGTGTAATTTGCAGAGAAGCAGGGCTGCTAAGTAGCTTATCCAGTGCTCTGACCTGGTTGTCTTACGTCCTTGTGCACCCATTACATATAACTTGATAATACCCCATATAAGTTAGTGTTTGCTAATATTTGTGCTTTTATTGTTAATGCTTGTAGTTTATCTGTGAATTCCAATAAATTATTTTTCTGAGGTTACAAATCCATCGCAACTTTTATTAGGTTTATCTCTGAAGTGGCATCAGATGTTCCAGAAAGACCGCTTTGTACTGATGATGGGGGCTGTTGGCCTCTTACAAAGTGCCATGACCTCCTGCTGGCAAGTTCTGTGCAAGACTGTTTTGCTAGTGTTGAATAAATGCAGAACAGTAAGACTCTTGGATCCGCTCCCTCACAGATGAAAAGGTTTCAGAGGTTTTATTGTGCTGCGTCTACTTTGTTTTCTGCTCTTATTTTTGCTAAAAAGAGCCTTGTTCAGGAAAACAAGTATGATCATCAGCAGTCAGATTGTAACATGAATGCGGGGGTGTTAAGAGAATCAAAGCTTGTGAACTGTATCAGTGGCATTTTATCTTTCTGTAGTCTCACCCTTGGTAGAGCAAGAGCTCTAGGGCTCTGGTCCAGTTCCCACTGAAACAATATCTTCAATCTGACCCATAATCAAAGCTGTCATCGGTGATTTATAGTTATAGCATGCCTGCACATTTTGGACAGGGCATGTCTACCAGGTGCTGCAGAAGAGACACCAACTGGAGTCCTGGAAGCCCTGTGGGTACACCAGCACCGTGAATCACCTGGCCCCTCAACAAGACTAGTTTAGTTTGGGTATGGCCTTGAACCAAAGCACCAGTGGAATCAGCTGCTGCCTTCTACACCTAGTGAAGGCTGGCCTCAGCGTGCCACACAACACAGGGATACCTTTGCACTAGGAATAAAAAAACTAAAGCGGGTCCTGGTCTTTGGCTCTGGAGGAGAGACTATAGATCCAGATCCTGATTTTGGATGATCATTTTTCTCACGTGGGTAAGGTGCAACACCTCATCCTGTGGGCTGAGGACAGCAGCCACAGGGCAGCCCCCTCCCAGCACGAAAACCTCTGAGGCCCTGCTTGCCTACTCCTGGCTCAGCTGGGTCCAGGCCTCCTCTGTGGCCCAGGGGCTCAGCTCTGCGAGTCCTGCCCACGCTTGGTGGGTGCAGATGATGGCAGACAAGCTCTGGGGTGGGCAGGTAAGTCTCTGCAGTCCCGATTTTTAGTGAGCAGAGACACCTAATGTTCAGCTTTAAATACATGCACTACACATTGGGGACCAGGAGCCCCAATGCTGCCTGCACCAAGCATTTCTTATCAGCTGTTTGGGTGGCTTCCTACACAGCACGATTTATAACTTGCCTTTAGAGGCATTTACACCCTGAGCTCAGTGTGGCTACTGCAAGGGCTATCTGGAGAACATTTTTTGGCAGTTTTTAAATATTAGCATTCTGCCAAGCTCAGGCCCATATGAGAGGTTCTGCCCTATGCCTCCAAACCTGAGACCTCGGCCCTCGTAGCACAAAGCACCTCCAGAAGCAGCCACCAGATGTCTCGGGGCCCGGGTGGGGGGGGGCGCGCCTGTGGGTAGAGTCTTTTTAACATGGACCAAGGATTGTATTTTACCAACCTCTCTGCAACTTCTAAGACAAGGAAATTAAGGTTTCTGGTGCACAGACTTTGCCTTAAACTCAGTTATTTGCCTAACTTCTGAATTTATCTGTGGACACAATGCAACTTTACATGCAGCACCTTTTACAATAGCTTTTCAAACAGCTTTCTTCAACTACGCATACCTTTGTGAACTCATCTGAAAAGAGATTAGTGGGTGCATTTAACAAGTAGTTTTGTGCAAGTTACTGAAAATTACTAACATGTGCAGCTGCTTTAGAGCTTAGTACAAGCATTTCAGCAACATCTTTTTCTCAGCAGTCACTGAAGCAGAGGACAAGAGAGGGTCCCCTGCAAGCACGTGATTACCCGGGAACAGCTGCTGCCTTTCTACTGAAATTCTTACAGAGCCCCTACCCTGTGATTTTTTAAGTCTGAAGAAGGCCGTTATTTCTTCTCAGGGGAGAACAGAGCAGTAGTCAGGTGTAGGAACCCAACAAGTGGTATTTTTAGTGCAAGATGGATCAAAGCAACAGGTACAAAACTCAAGGTTGTTTCACCTAGTGAGGGCTGTAAGGCTCACTGACCCCCAGAGGAACATGACAAGGACTGAAGGGGCTCAGGTGTGCAAGCTGGACACCAGCATGTCTCACTTGAGCTCCAATATTTCAAGAACAATGATTAATCCACTGCTACTTGTGGGACTTCTTTTGCCACAACCGCCCTCTCAGTCATCCCAGTTTTAGCAGTCCCTCTCAGCAAGCAGAAGGGACACTGATCAGCTGTGGGAAGGGAACCGTGAATTCTCTTTTCCTCCAAATGACATGTCATGCACTGCATAACTCAGCGTCTGTCAAAGGGACGCTTCTGCCGCAGATTGCATTAGCACAACTGGGCGACCACGTCTTGCTTGGAGCCACAGGCTCACAGCAGCCATTTCCTCGGGAGGAGAGGCCGTGCTCTGAAACCACAACTAGCACACCACACCATCTACAACAACCCCTTATCTGGGAAGCGTCGGTACCACTGTGCAGGACTTCAAGTTCCTATGGGTAAAAGGACATGGCACAATACCAGAGAGGTTTTAAAGACAGGAAATGATCTAAACAGATGCTTTTTAAACAGTATACTTATTCATATAATAGAGACACTTTTTAAGGTGGAAAAAATGTGTTGCAAAATGTCCACAATAAAGTGATACTGCTTTGAGCTTTAGCCTAATTAAAACTCTGTAATTAATCCTTGATTTCAGTCACATCCACTCCTTTTCCCCATTTAAACGTGTGCTCCAATTATTATAAACTGAATACACACGCCCTGTCTTAGTCAACTTAATGTGTCTTTGTATCCAAAGCAGGACCAGGAACCCTAAAATAAGAGCTCCAACTACTGATTCTTTAGCAGCATTTTATTAAAATTAACATGTACAAATATAGAATATATCCAAACGATTAAATTCCTTTACTTGACTTTTGCTGTAACAAAACTATGTTCCAACCCTACAGTTTCGGTAGCTGGTCCTAAGCACCTCAAAACCCAGTCCTGAGCTCCAGTCTGTGCTCTGATGTTCCTTCCGTGTTCTCACCCAGCTGACATATGGATCCTTAGGGCACTTATTGGAAGGGTAAATGAAAGCTTTAGAAGCAATAGCATTACCACTCTGCAGCTTTCCCTCAAGGAATGTTACTTATTACTGCGTAAGGCAAGCTGAAGTGTTTAGAAGGCACATTTAAGAATTCTGGATCACTGAAGTCCTGTACTCGTCCGATGGCAACCAGACCCGCAGCAGAGGAGTGAGGAGCCCGATGTGGCTGGCACACAGGTCCATGCCAGGCGGCACAACGCGGGGAGCACAGCGTGGACACAGCACAGCACCTGCCCGGAACGCTGCCAGGGCGCCTGCTCAGCAGAAGGCGCTGCCTGTGCGAGGAGCTTGAGACATCCAGCTTCCTGGCTCACCTCAGGAGAGATGATCCACAGTGAAGGACAACCACCACCAGCTGCACAGGCTGAGTACTACGCACAGTATTTGAAGAGCTGTTCCAGGAACTTCGTTTTGAGTCGGTTTTGATACTTTTTTCTAAGGCTGTAGTTTTTCAGGCTGCAGTCTCCATTTTAAAGTAAGTCTGCCATTAAGCAGGCATGCATAAGACAAAGCAAAGCTTACTCCCAACTCACCATGGGATAGAAACAATAAAGATTTTTAAGCACTTTCCTTGAAAAACGTAAAGAAACTAAGCAAGCTGCTCACTTGCTATCCAACTCTTTTCAGGTGTATTTCACTACAGGTATCAGAGGAAGGGCATGATTCTATTTCTATCAGTGAACAAACACTCAAACATGCGCAAGCGATCAGGTTAATGCACATACACATTTTACCTGACCTACCATGAGCAGCAAGAATTGCAACCCCAGTACTACAGGCCATAGAGTTTACCAAATAACTTTGCCACAAGACTGCTCAAGTTGGTACTTAGAGCAAAAACCCAATTCTTCCTAAAAGGATAAGGCAACACCAAGCCAAAACCCAGTGAGACTCTTTAGAAAACAGAAGAATGAAACAGAGAAACAGAAAAATGCTCTTGATAAGATCAGCATGATTGTGTTCATCTCTGACAAGTAAAAGCAGCACTTGTAAGGTAACAATACCAACCACCGAGATCCAGTGGTCATAAACCCCCGTGATAAAATGCACATGCCCTGTTTGGTTACTGCAACCAGATCCCTGTTACAAATAACCAGTTTCCCTCTTCAGAGGGCTGGCAGTGAGAGGGAATGTGAATCGGAGGGAATGCTGTACTTCAGCAGAGACGTATAAAAATAAAATTTCCACTTGCTGCATTTCTGTTGATCCCAGCTTTACAGTAAACTGAGTGAGTCTGGGAAACGAACTGGAAAAGTGAGGGGGGACCAAAACAGAAATAATTTAGCAGCAGCAGTTTGCTTGATTTTCTGGAACCAGCAATCCACTTTCACAGAGTCACTACTCTGGAGTGAAGCAGTGCAGGCTCACAGTGGTTCAGAACCAAGAGGACTTCAAAAAGTAACAACTTTGGGTACTTTAACTTTTGGTTTTTGCAGCTTTGTTGTTTCTGTAATTTCTTCATAATCTGCACTCATTCCAGTGGCCCATCGCCCAACTGTAACCTGATCTGCAGAGAGAGAGACAAGAGATTATGGAAAGGCTAAACATTACTGTTTGATCAAACTTTTGCATTTGACGAAGATTTGGCCCACAAAGGCCTGTCATTAATTCACCAAAGATCTGTGCATTTAGTTATACCTCTGAAACCAACTTTCCTTACACAACTTTTTTTAAAATTGTGTTTTGTAAACTCCTTTTCTTCCCCCATGTAGATTGTCAAGGTTCAGAAATCACTGCTACATGTTTTTCCTATTTGTCTGTCCAAAGAAACATTCAGAGAGCATGCAGATGATACATTAGCTCTCCCACAAGTCCAAATAACTCTTATGATGAAGATTTCAGAATACGTCAAGCATCTCTGGATATACAGAAAAGATCTCCTCTGTTGCACAGATGAGAAAACTAAGCCTGAAGAGGCACAACAGAACAAAATTGACACTTCTCAACTTACATCCCTGCATATAGTCAACGTCATTGTTTTGCTGTTTAAATGCACTTAGACCAATTCACACCCCCTTCCCAGAGAAAACACCATTAATCAACTGATAGTTCTTTTCTGAATGACAATCTAATTTTTAGAGCGACAAATCAAATTATAACAAGAATACCACACTTATATACCAATGTTTACTTGGAATAATTTCTGTATATTAAAGCAGACCAAATACCTCTAACCTAAAGAAATAAGCTGTAGTGCCTACACTTCTTTGCCAGCTATCAGCTACCTTCCTATAGTCTGAAAGTACTTTGCATGATGCAAACTGATTCAAAGAGTATTACAATTCCTACTAACAGTGTCACGGTTCCAATTATTTCAACTATTTGTAACCAGCAATACTAGTTTTGAAGCATCGGCATAAAGACTATGTCCCTTGGGAAATCAAACAGGGGTTGTCAATCTTCATTATGGACATAAAACTTCTCAAAAAAAAAAAAAATGGCAGAAAAAATTCCAGTTCTGCATCACATATAATTCAGAACCCTACTGCAAGAGAGCAGAAAGGCTTGCATTGGACTGCCCTAACAATTGAAGGCTGACGTGTCCTGGAAACAGCCAGCCCAGCTTTGAGCAGTGCCCCTCCCTACAAATGTTTCCTTTCTCCTACAGCACCTGTACTGGTTTTGGATTTACAAAAAGTGTTAACCACACAGAGGTAGTTTGCCATAAAAGTAGTGTGCACAAATCCCAAAAGGGGTATGTTACAGGCTTTCAACTCAGCAGCCGAGTGGGCACTGCCCAACAATCAGCCACAGAGGATGAGTCCCGGGAAATTTTAAAGTCTTTTCATATCAGAAACTTCTGTCATACCAGTTAAGAATCACTCTCACTTGCTCTAAGCTAGCAAAGCAGCACATGTCTGGAATGTTACATATGCACTTGCATACAACAACATCATGTATGTTAAGATCAGATACACAAAACGGATAAAGTATAGGCCTCTATTGCCTATTTCTTACATAAATTCCACTGAAGTGGCATATATTGTTAAGTTATATAAGCCAGGCAAACAAAGTAGAAAAATGCACAAAAATGCCACACTTCAGTAACAGAATCATTCTTCAAACCCTTGTTTGATGCTTTTGCATTCCTTAGCACAGGTTTTTTGTATATAATTTAGTTTTTCCACCCACAAAGATAACTGAAGCACACGTAATTAAGCAGATTATCTGGTAAGTCCCCCTGGACAAACCTCCTGTCTCCTCTTTCTCTGTTGTCTTGAATGACTTGAACACTTGCCTGCACATGGAGCTTTTTGCAAGCTGCCAGCGCCATCACCCTGCAACTGACATTACATCCAGTTCCACTACTTCACACAGAAATTAGAATCAAAAGAAGAAACCAGTTCTGTCCTACAGCTGCTACGTTGTGGACAGCAGCATAAATATTGGCTAATGAATACACATTAGCTCGTGTTATCTTCAGAAACCCACAAGCTAGAATTTTTTAACATTAAGTTCAAGTTTTCCATTGCAACTTAATACCTCCTCCATGTACCCCTTAATATAAGGGCTCACTCCCAAAGGAAGGTCACATTTACTATTTACAACTTCTCAAAGTTTTTTTTCCCTGACAAAACTCAGGAAAAGCAGTAAATAAGCATTACTCAACTGTGCACTCAAACTCCACTCTGTACACTCCCTGCATCTCACCTGCGTTCTGTTTTTCTGGACAGTCTTTCCTGAAGTGCTCCACAGAGCCACAAAGTCTGCACCCACCACCTGTTAAGGGAGACAGTTGTTACTCATCCTGGTAAAAAAAACACAAACACAACAAAAACCCCAAACTCTTGTTCTTGTTTGTATCTTGAAAAATCTTCTTCTACTTAACTGTGGCGACAAAATGTAAGATTAGGAAATGTCCCTACAGACAGGTCTGCACTCCCTGGCACAATAATATTCTATTTTATAACATCGTGGAGCAGATATGCAGCCAGCCTTAGAAGCCTGCAAACACAGCTTCCTCTGTCTCTGTGTCTGACAGACAGAGCTGTTTGCAACCACATACTACAAATTCCAGTCACCACACACTGAGTATTTCTGATTTGTTGGAAAGCTCTCTTTTTGACAAACAAGATGAAATCTGCTGAAATTCACATTCAAATGAAATTCTGAAATTAACAGGAGTTCCTGAGGCAGGTAATCCAACTGCAGGTACTAAGATACGCAATATAAATTTTACTCATAATCCAAACACTGAAAATAAAATGATTTTTCTACCAATTAAACCATGCTGTAAGATCACCCTTTTGAGTTTGCCAGACCTTCAAGTTTGTACAGGGAGACAGAATGCTATTTGTCAGTGCCAACAGAGAAATCAGGCAGAGAAGAACATAAGTGCAGTCTTCAAACTTAGATCACATTTCTCATTAAAGTCACTTAAACCGAACACATCTTCTTTCTAGTGAAGCCCTTGTTTCATGTGAACACCTCTCAAAGTCTTAAGCTATATATGACAGTATGTTTTTACTTTGGTATATGTGCATTTAAATACACACTGACTCACATACATGCACCCTATTATGATTTTGTTTGTGTGCCTCCTGATACTGCAAGCACAATCAAGTTCTTGTACTTTGCATCTCATTTTGTTTAACACTAAGCTTACAATTAAAACAGAAATCCCTGGGCAATTAGGGGTATTAACACTGAATTCCCCAGAATTAATCTGCTTTTACCAATAGCAAAAGAGATTTGGAAATTCCTTTCAGTCAGATCCTCATTCACTTGCAATGTTACTTTGTTCCATATCAGGTAAGTATGAAAAATATGGTTTGGTTTTAGTAAATCAGTACACTCACCTTCTGCATACAATCCCTTGGGATTATCTGGACATGACCTTGACAGATGACCCATCTCACCACAGATGAAACATTTCGCATAAGGAAATGCCCCTGAAAAATCCCACAGAGTTTATGATCCACATTAAAAACTTTTTAAAGTCATAGACAACTGTGGACACACCATAAAGACAGTAATTTACTGCACTATTACACTATAAAAACTATACTGTTTCTTACACGGTTAGATAGTTCTAATATTGAATTCCTTTAAACATATTAACCTATCTCTTCAGAACAGTTAAATTATTAAACCACAAAGCTTATATTTCAGTAGTCAGAAAACTCAGACCAAAGCATCTCAAAATACAAATTTCTGAGACATACCAACCGCTGGATCTATTTTTGCTTTGCATTTGCTGATGTCGTGTTCTGTGGATCCACACCGGTAACAGATTCCTGTACCCATATCTTGACTTTCAAGTACCGCAGGGCAATCAGCAACACCGTGGCCAGGTTCTCTACAGTGGAAACATACCTTTGAAAATAAAAATTGTGTTATATGCATTTTCACAGACACTTAGCAAAACACATCACTTATAAAAGTGACATTACTGAAGAATTCACTCACTCCTATTACCTGATTTTCACCTAGACTTTTACTAGACCACTATTTCTCTTGGCTGAAACCCTGAGAGTACTATATGTATTTCTACTGTTGAGATTTAAGGTTACTCTACCATAAAAAGACAAGATTCTGTGAATTGCACTCAAAGACCTGAAAACCCCAGTCTAATAAGGCCTTCCAGAATTTCAGAAGCCAAACATATCAAGGGATTTTCTCCTCAGGGAAAAATAGCTAGACAAGACACACTGTACCCTGTCACAAAATAACTGTCAGTGGTCTGTGCCACTAAGTCATATTATTATGGTTCTTTTCTCCTTTTACCAACAATGCACCGTATAGAGTGTTCACTCATTGTTCACTCATTGACAACTGTGTGCCATGGATGAGTAAAGATACTCGATTTTAACTATAACATAGTTCACAAGCTCCTAGAGCAATACTGCAGTAAGTGCTTAGGCAAATATAAGCAATGTTGCACCAATCCTATAATTTACTCATAAAGAACTTAGATATCTAAGATTAATTAGTAGTAACTCTACTATGTTCCCAGATTACACTCAGCATGAAACTATGCTGAATGTGTAAGTCTGTGCTGGGATAACTTCTTTTATAGCCTTACTAAAGTCTGATGGAGGTCTCACTCCAATTCTCAAGCTGAAGACAGTGCCGAAAGAGGCCCCACAACAGCAGGAACATTGTAGTGATGAATTACATATAGAAATGCACTGAATTAGTTTCACCTAGGAGACAAGAGGGGCTGAGAATTTACCAAAGGGTAGCACGAACAGTGCTGAACATGAAGAGCTGCACTAAAGGCTAAGACTTAGGCTGAAATTCATTGTTTGCTTCAAAGTTGAGACATTCAAGTTCACTTTATTAACTTGAAGTGTCACTTAGCACTCAGTCTCCTCACTGAACCACCCCCTGACAGCATCAGCAGAGAATAAGGAATATGCATTTTCCTCACGGGGCTTTTCCCAAGTTTTTAAACAAGCTACCAGGGACAGGGAAACACCCACGACTCAAGGCAAAACTCACCATGGCATTTTTCTTCACTTCTTGCCTCTTCAGCCTCCTATCCTCCCGCCGCTTGTCCTTCCTCAAGGCCACCGCGAAGTCCTTCTCCAACGCCGCGCTGTCTGCTTCCGCCACCTCGCCACCCCTGGAGCTCTGCCGCAGATACGCCACAAACCCGTTGACGTCCTCGTTCAGATATTCCTTCTTCTTTTTGTTCTTCTTCTTCCTCTTGTCTTGCTCCTTCTTCAGGGAGAGAGGGCCTGAGCGGCCCTCCCGCCCCTGGGGGCCGCTCGCCATCTCCTCCCAGGGGGTCGCATCCAGCGCCTTCGCGCCGACAGCGCCGTTTCGGCGAGCCCATCGGGTCATGGCAGCGGCGCGGACAGCTCCTGAACAGAGACCCACAGGTGAACAGGGGGGCCCGCAGAGCCCCTAGCCCGCGGGGGAGCGCAGCGCGTCAGCGCTCCCTCAGGCGGCCCGACCCCGGCGAG